TTTTTTTACTCTTAACGGGACCGCACTACAGGGCGCATAAAGGACGCCGTCAAGTGTAAAGGGGAATTAACTCACATAGATCTATCAATTTTGTCTGGCCTAATCGTAAATATTACTGTATCATTATCATGACAGATTTTATCTCGCCCCACGAATTATCCCAATGGTGTATAATATAATATAATATAATATAATATAATATAATATAATATAATATAATATAATATAATATAATATAAACTCCGCAGCAAATGAATCTATTTTGATACCTTACCTTAGTGAGGATAATACACGCAATAATTTCCTTGGCGATATTGAAATATTGATTTTGTATTACCTGACACACGCAACGATAACACAAGGACTATTGAAATGATAATTTTACATAACTTCTATCTTTATTCACAACCGTTTACTAAGCTCAGCTAGGGATGAAAAAATACGCGAACCACAATATTTCACACCTTGCTTCCAGAGAATGCGTTTGGAAATGCATTGGAAAATTATGGAGCGTTAGTAGAATTTTTTTCAGATCATGTATTGTTGCTTACCCACGTACTACTAATTCCTTCTGCGGTTTGTTTAATTTGACAAAAAACATCCTACAAGGCATCAAGTACGACGCTACTTCTCTTGTCAACACAATACAAAAATAACACAAAGGTTAGGAAAAAATCCAGTTTCCTTTGTCCAGTGAGCCCCATAGCTTATCAAAGATCATATGCCTCAGACAAAGACATATTTTTCACAATTCTTATTTCCTCTGACGTCTTCGTTCCATAACACTCCTCATTTCATAAGAGCGTATTCAGAACAGATGATTCACTGACTAAATATGGCCGACCCCACTTAAAACTGATGCCGCTACATCCCTGATGGTCTCCTCGCCTCCACACGCGCAGTCGCTGCAGGGGCTTAGCAATTAAACCCAGGGGCCGAAATTTAATCCGTTAAAGGCGCGTGCGATGCCGGATTAGCCACGTCGCTTTTAAGTGGGTCGGCCATATTTAGTCCGCGGAGCAACTTGTTCTGAATGTGCTCTAAAACAGCATTTGTGCCAGGAAAATTACATTTATGCAACTGCAGTATCTGTTTACATGATATCCACTATTTCAATTTACTGAACATGATCAGCATTTCTATGTAACAAAAATAAGCCATGTATACAAAACTTAAATCTACTCTTACAACTCATCTCTTACACAATTTTTTCTTTACGCAAACATGCTTGTGCGATGTAGCTTGTTTGGTTTGTCTAACATAATTCTAGCGTGAAGCAATTGTTACCTTAATCATAAACATATCAAGGTCGAAAAACATACTAGAAATCACCATACGCCCGTCTTTACAAAGCCAATAGCTAGGTCAAGTCTCCGACCACGGCGGTTTGACGTGACACGTCGGCCATTTCACAGAAAAAAGAGCGTTGGTAAGCAATATAATGGTCTTAATGTTATCTAAATGGCAAAAAGAAGAAAAGAGACTCCAAACATAAGATGCCTGAGCTTAAAAATAACCTTCACATAACAAAGAGGTACTGTAGGACAAGTGATCAATTACCAGGTAAGACGGACGTACATGTGGGTTAAATGATGGAATACTACAGAGCTATGGAGGCACGATGCCTTGTCACACTCTGTCACCTCGATGCAAATCAGTCAGAGCTGGCGTCCCTTTTTAATGCCATTGTTCCCCTATTTACTGTTATATCAGTTATCATTGGTAATTATCTGACACGCTGGTGTCATTTTAAACCATTGACGTCCAAATGTTACACCAAAACACTCACCTGGATCCCGAGTTCCTTTACAGCGGCCGCCCTGTTACTCCCTATATAAACATGGGAAACCTGCGGCCTTCGCTATGTGAAACGACTTCACGTCGTCAACAAGCTTCTATTAACCTACCTGTTACTGCTTCACATGGTGCCTGGGAGGTCCGCGAACGTGCTGGGGAGAGACAGAGGGAACAATAAACAAGCATGACTGCGCTTTATGTATAGGCTCTATGCATTGTGCAATGGAATTGCATAATGCAAATGAATGTGAGTGCACCGGACGAATAGGGTTTCTGTTTAAATAATCGTTTAATGAGAAGCATACAAAAGATACAACGTGCAACCTCTGGAACGGAAAGGGGGAAAAAATCGAGACCCTGCAACCTTTGACGTAATTGTGCTCACAGGACCACGGTCAATTTTAGGGAGAGGCGGGAGGCAGGGCGTGATACTGCAATATTGATTACGAAGATTACGGAAATAGACAAAATGTATGGTTAAGAACGGCGAATTATGAAACAATCGTCATTTAACATGTTTTCTTTAAATTAGTGAACGTTACATCTCGTAAAAGAGGAGAAGCGGCGCAGACGTGTAAGCTATCCAACAGTTTAAAAGGTGGTGGGGGGGGGGGAGGGTGTGTGTGTGTGTCTTTTTTATCTGAATGAGAGGACATTTTTACCCCCTTTGTTGACGCATCTTGAGAAATGAAATAGAACTATATCAAATTTTGCGTCAGAGTAGAGCAGAACTTTTTTTACGGGCTCGAGAGAAAGGTGAATAGTAGAGATAAAACGCTCGATGTGAACATGCCTTTTGATTGTCTGATTCAACCGTTGCGTACTAGTAGTAATAAATCAGATTAGAAACAAGTGTATAACTTAAAAAAAAACTCCCATTCTGCGTTCCCACGCTGACATTATTATATTGTACTGAATTAAATCCACTTGATGGTTAGAAGTTCTATTGATCTCATCGCGCTTTTGTTCGGTGCTTTTTGTAACAGTGGGTTTCACGTGTTTTGTAATGTGAATGAAACATCGCCAGTTTGGAATGCAGTTGTAAAGACCTGTTTTGTGCTGAGTCCACCTGTCCTAGACCTATACTGAACATGTGAATTGAAAGAATGTTTGGTGGATCAATGGTTTCAACGGGGGGAGGGGGGGGGGCAGGGAGGGAGGCAATGATAAAAAATTGCTGAATCAAGCGAAAGAAGCGAGAAGACGGAGCTTTTTGTTTAAGTATGTAGAGCACGGGGATGAAATTAATTATGGCTTGGGTATGTCTCGTCTCGCTCGTTTTACAATTTTTTATTTGGCGGAGAGGGTGGTGGTAGTGCTGGATCTGTTGTCATCAATTTGACAGAAGGACGTGCACGTTAGTCGAAAGTTGTTCTCAGCTGTAGGACAGAATTTTTTGATCCATTTCGAGCCAGGATAAATCTACATTAGTCCAATAAATAATTAGTCTCATATATTAACCGTCTTCCCCAGTAACTATTGTGCAGGATTGGTGCAATATAATATTATGACGTACTCTTCATTTTCCTTGGTTCCAGCAGGCTAGAAATATCGGTCTATAAATATCAAGACCGACTTTCGACTAAGCTTTTTCATGAATCCAATTCTAGAATTGTAGAAAATTCAACGAGCTGGAAGTCGAGGCATACCTGACTGTGAGAAATATTTTTTGACTGGGATTTAGTAAAGACGTGGCATTTATATATTAACATGGTTGAAGAAATTCTACAACGATTCTGTTACGGAAGCGCTTGAAGAATCTATCTCATCTGATTCCTCTTATTTCTTTCTTAATTGTATTGTATTTATCTGATGGAAACAACATACACTTTTTAGCTCTTAAAAATATCAATGCGTCAAAGATAATTATTCTGAGGTTAACTTTAAAGCGTTTTGCTCTGTCGATTTCTTTTTAAAAACGCCCGCAGTTGTAGACCTTTTTCTATTTAATTGACATTGCATCTCGTTGTTTAACATTACACAGTGTCAATGCCCAGGAGAATGGGAAAGCATGGTGGTGGCACAGCATAATAAAGAGCAGTCTACTGTAATCCTTGTTGAAACAGAGTAGGGGAAACATTCTCATATCAAATGAATCAAATGTAGTATGTGACGAAACTTCAGTGACACAATCAATTTGGACACATTTTGCCATTATATAGAAAGTAACCGACGACTCATGTTCTGGGCAGTGAAACCGTTTTATATTGGGTCAAACAAATATGGAATATTCGGACTTCAAGATAAAGCCATCTTTGTGACATGTCAGACACCTGTTGCGTACACATCCTCTAGAACGAAACATTTTACAACTACTCGGGGTGACAATTTCTCTCTCTCTCCTCCCCCCCTTTTTTTTTTGGGGGGGGGGGAGGGGGGGTGAGAATGAGGGGGGATTCATTGTTTTTAGTTTATTTTCCATTTCATTTTTCAGCGACACAAAAGAAAACTAAAAGACTTTTAGAAAAATACAACACAAACTTTATGTTACAAAGTACAATCATGTTTTTTTATGATTTCACAGAAATGGAATTCATAATGATAATAATGGCCACATCTACAATTCTACACATTCATGTAACAGACTATTATCACTATACAAAAATAAATAAATAAATAAATACATATAATAATAATAAGAAACCTAATGCTTCATATATCAAATACAACAACTAAGTTTTTCTACCACAGGCAAAGAATTTCAAAATTTAAGTTCAATCTAGTTTAAAAGAAGCTATCCTGTTAGATTCAGAGAGTATCGTATCTTTTAACTTCAAAAATACTTTTTCCACAATTTCAATGAATGAATACATGAGATCCACCATAATTAATTTTTAATTTTCACTATTTGTCACAAGAGAACATAAAACTCAAACCTATTATTATGCTTCACTGAATTATTTGTTTACTAAGACTAGACACGATATTCTCTCATTCAACTAAATTGGAACGATGTAAAAATTGTAAAATAATAACATCTTTACATTAAATGATAATTAGATATTATTTTAGAACATAAAGCACAAAAGGCCTATCTAGTAAAGTTTGTTCATGCTTTCATCTCCATGTAATATTTTACTCACTGCCATAATGCTACATTTATCTTTATTCCACTGACATCACTTTACCTAATTCCAACTTGATCAACTTAAAATTCAATTAGGCATTTTTCTTTTTTTTTTCTTTTTTTTTTTTGGGGGGGGGGGTGAATCGTCAACTTACTTAAACCCAAATAAAGGCAAAATGAGCATAGTTTGGGTTGAACTTTATATACATTAGATACAGTACATAAAATATAACAAATGCTGTATTACTTCAATATTTGCCATGTTAATCTTCTTACACCGGGTTTCTTTCTAATCAGGGACCAAATAGTACACAATTCATAATTATCTGCTAAGACCCGCTACATTCAAATTATAAGTATTTTTAAAATATATTTTCAACATTTATTTGACATAAGGTTATGCACAATGACATAAATAATGATGAACATAAAAACAAAATCCACCTGTGTGTATAAGGTAAGTCTTTTTATACTAAAATTTATATGCAGACTGACTGTTCTCAGACAGAAGAATGCAGGCTGCATAACAACTAAATGTTGGGTGTACAGCCTTTCAGAAAACTCTGTTAATAGATATTCAACAATTCAGATTCCTGACTACAATTCTAATAAGCAACCCAACAAAACTGTATGCACACAAGGTTACTGATGACACCTTAAATAATAAACAATTAGGAAATCTATTTTTTCTCTTATTTGAAAAAAATTATTTCAAAAAAAAAAAATAAAAAAATTAAAGCCTGCTTTTAACTAGAGGTGTGTGTTAAATATTAATGTCATTTTGAGTAAAAATGTACAGATTTATCTATATGCCAATTCTATTTTAACTGTAATATGTCTGTATCTATACATATTGTCATGCCCACATTCAACTTTAGCTCCCATAATTATATAAAGTAGCATCATTATCGCTATGGTCATTATTATTCATCATTGATGTTTTGAGGAGGGTACAGACAAAACCTGATAAGCAAGCCGGCATTTTTTTACCCTGCTCTCAGCAAAATCCTGTACCTGCCTTTTTTACACCGCCTCGTGTTGCTTATTTCTTACCTCCAAATAACGACAGAATGATAAGGAACAGATACACAATATCCAGATAGAGCTGCAGTGCAGCAAAGATATACTCCTCTGGGCTCAGTGAATACTTCTTGCCGCCAAACAACAACTGGGTGTCAACGATCAGGAACTGAAGGTGGAAAACACAAAAATAGTGAAGAAATACAATAAAAATTATGATTTATAAAATTAAAATACAAATATAATGACTCTGAAGAATAAGAAAATGCTGGAGAATTGGTGATATCAAAATCACACAAACCAAAATAAATTCAAAACAGAGCTGTTATAACAACAGCCCAAAGATGAAACAAACAAACAAGCACACTAATGAGAATAAACAAATATTCAAACAAACAAATATTCACAGCTTTCACTCAACAACTGCACATACAAATCAATTAACTTATCAATAATCAAAATATAATTTGATAGTGCAAATAAATGAGGACACTCAAGAAGTGTATAGGACACTTTCATCCAAAAGGACAAATTAGGCTTATATGAACACTGCTACAGCTGGATTGCTAATGAAGCGTTCAGATAAACCCATTGTACTAGCTGGATCGATCCAAATCTGCAGGGATTCTCACTTAAGTGCACGCCTCCTTGACCAGCAAGGGAGCAAGTTACTATCATGTGCTCTTGGCTCTCAGAAGCTCTTTCACTCGAGCAGCTATGCCAGACAATTAAGCTGATTACACTGAATGCATTTTAGCGAGAATTCCCCATGGAATTGGACCGATCCAGCTTGTACAATGGGTTTATCTGAATACGGTCTTAGATGTCAACATTATGCTGTATGTAAAAAAGGCCTTTAAGCTCTTCACATGCCCTAGCAACATGCAAACAAGGTGATTATGTAACAACTTGCTGCCCTATGACATCCATAAATAAGAGTAATATATACTACATCCTTATAACCATATATATTTCTTACATTATTCTTCCTTGCATTACATTTCTATCAACACAAAGTAAGATATTTTCTGAAAAATCTAAAAAATGTTTTTTTAAAGTTATTTACACTCAGAGGGAGAATAATTAAGAAACATAATATTCTAACTAAACTGCATAGATGTGTTTGCTAGTTTTACTTGGACCCTCTACAATTTTAATTAGACTCCTAACAAGTGGCACAATCAGATGAACAGAATATTGCATATATTAGTGTCATATTAAAACCATACAATGGCCACAGAAATGATCTGGAACTACAAGAGACATCTAAGACTTTGAAAACATGGAACACACATAAACAGATTTCTATATTATATACTTCCAACAACCATAACTCAAATCCATATCATTGTCTTATAAGAATATTATTCAGTGCAATAACAGTGAGTTGCTTCTAGGTGTTGCTGTACATCATTTGTCCATCAAATTAACACTGTCTTAAAATCCATGCTACTGATAGATCAGCGCACGCATGTGGGTGTGTATAGTTGAGTGGGAGATCATCTTTATGTATAATATTTATGAAAAAACTAAGATGCACATACTTTTCGTCTAATACAGTTTGCATGTTTCTCATGTTTCGCTATTCTTTGACACTTTTTAAAGGTTACAGAAGTACACAAAATAGCTTAATTCCCCACAAGCAAGCAAGGACAAAATGTCAGTACAACAGCATAATCACAATCCAAACTAACAGTTGTCCTTTGATCTTAGGGGAAAAAATCAGCATCGGAGAATCTGGTCTATTGTCAGCAAATATAACCCTTTTTTTTGTGCACATTATTCAATTTTTGCTCCCCCCAAACAATGACAAAATAATCAAAAACAGGTAGACTACGTCCAAGTAAAGCTGCAAAGCTCCAAAGATGTACTCCTCTGGGCTCAGAGCGTATCTCCTCTTTTGGCCAAAGATCACCTGTGTGTCTATTATCAGGAACTGAAAGGTTAAGAGATGATGGTGATGTTAGTATTGAAGGATAATAATGAACTTGGTATCAAAGGATAATTATCAAATTAGTGTCAAAGGATAATTATAAACTCACAAAGGATAATCTGAACTCATTACCAAGGGACAATCTGAACTTGACATCTAGGGATAATTGCAAATTTGGTATCAAAGGGTATTTATGAAATCTTTACCAAAGGGTGAATAGGAATTTGGTATCAAAGGGTAATAAGAAGTTTTGGTAATGATAAAATAAGTATCAAGGGATAATTTTGAAAAGGATATTAAAGGGTAATTATGAAATGGGTCTCAAAGGATAAATAGGGATTCGGTTTTCAAAGACTTATTAGGAACAAAGAATCAAATTTTCACTGTTATGTGAAACTGCACTGCAACAGTGAAGTCAATCTTAATCACCCAGGCATGGTGAATCTGAATATATCTTAATCTATTTTCAAAACTCATTAATAAACCATTTCTCTGTTACAGGTGAAGCACTTATGATGTGAGAGGTTTTATGGCTAAGTTTACTTTCCTCCTTAAATTTATACAAATATGCTAACATCAGAAGTAAAGCACACTGAGATAAAATTCAAAATTGAAGCATTTAAGAACGAAGAAATGTTATTTGACTGAAGGAATATGATGTCCAAAAAGGTGGTGTAGAAAATGGGGACATGAAACAAGCAGTGTGTCTGCAGACATTGAAGTATTAAAAAGGTGTAAATCTATAAATTGTTGAACATGCTATGAAAAATGTAAGAAATAATGTGTGCAATACTCATGACTTTTTAACCCTTAGACAAAAAATCATGCAAAATTTCATCATATAGCAAAAAAGTGCCTATAAATATGAAAATGTGACCCTGAAAACAGAAGAGAAAGGATTAAACACTATTCATGCAAAAAAGTCAATAATTTACAGCGAAAACCAATTTCATTTGACATCTACAAACAAAGCAGATGGATATAAATGAAACACTGAAAATGTGTGAATAAACAGATATAAATGTCAAAACATTCCCCAGCTGTTTACTGAAAAAGCAATATATTACTATTAATGAAATAATATCGGCAAAATTAAGACCATTAAAGGGATAATAACTCTTTGTATGAGATCTATATTTCACAATAAAAACATTGTGAATAACTCAAAGAAATATAATATATTGTTTTACCATAAAAACGGCAGTTATAGCTATTATTCTGATATCTGAGCTTGTCTTCAGACTATGTGACCTCCATTGATGGCTATACTCTGTTAAAATCTCTTAAGAGATTTTAAAAAAAACCCAAACTTTTTACAAAAAAACCAGGGACTAACTTTGAACGTAAAAATGGATTCATTAACCATTGGTAAGTACGGGAAAATTGTTGTTTACTCCAGGAAAATTCATTTTTTGGCCGAAACGAAGAGTTATTATCCCTTTAATAACAATAACAACACTGATGGTCTATATTGACACCCAAAGCTTGTGAGATATCCCTTCCTCAGATCTGGTCACCCAAACCTCTCAATTGCTGTAGTTGGCCACTGTGAGTTGAATCATCGTGAAATATGTTAGGAAAATCCATTTATTTTTGGGGGCCAAAATGAACAGTTGTTATACCTTTAAGTGCATAATAAAGTTTTATGGACTAGAATTAATTAATTTTGGGTGCAATTACTGAGCATTTGTTTGACACGTATTTTTGAAAAAATATTCGCTATCTAACCAACTAAATCTTTCCAAAAGACAGGCTTTTTCGTCAATTAGCTGGCCAGGTGAAGAAGAGAAATACATCAAAAGCAGGAAGTCTCTACTAGCGCTATAAAAAATACAAATTTTCCCTCATCACCTCTGCCAAGGAAGTTGTGTTTTGCATTTTTTTTTCTTTTTTGTTAAAAGCCCAACTCAGTAGGTTATGGACAGATTTTGATAACATTTTCAGGATGATAAGAGATGGACTTACAAAGGACCTTTTTAATTTTGTTGGTGATCCAATAATTAACCAATTCATAATGAGGCTTGAGTTTTCTTGGCGGAGGTGTGCTTTTCTAGTTCTAATGTTTTACAAGTATATACCATGGGAAAGGCATATATCAATAAGTGCATGTAAACAGTCAGTGGTACATACACTTTTAAGCCTGTCAACAACCCTGGGGGATCAGACCTATCAGTTATTTTTTAGCACCCCCTCCACAGGCAAGAAGCATCATAAATATATAGACAATGTCCAGGTACAGCTGGAGTGCACCGAAGATGTGCTCCTCGGGACTCAGGGCGTATCGCTTATTGCCGATCACCATCTGTGTGTCAAACATGAGACACTGGAAAATAGTGATATAATATCAATTTACTTAGACCTGTACTGGAAAATAGTGATATGATATCAATTTACTTAGACCTGTACTGGAAAATAGTGATATAATATCAATTTACTTAGACCTGTACTGGAAAATAGTGATATAATATCAATTTACTTAGACCTGTACTGGAAAATAGTGATATAATATCAATTCACTAAGACACGCCTCCACATGTGTCGTCCCAATGGAGCAGAAATTTAATGACTGTACCCCAGCAGGGACGACGCATGGGGAGGCGTGTGAGAGGCGGAGAGACTATTAAAAGATTAGCCGGTTTTTCTGTCATGTACGTCCGCCATATTTAGTGCCAGGATTTGTAAAGCCTGGCTCAACTTGATGTGAATGCGGTCTAAGACCTGTACTGAACACTCTACAGTATCACTGTATGCTGATACTTGATGAACAGAGTGAAGCTTACGTACAATATCATATATAATACACTAAGACTTGATGAGTTTACAAAAAGATGAGTGGGAATGAAAATAAGTATGTAGAGAGTATTTTTTTGTGAAAATATATATAAGATTTTTTCGTGCTGACTCCTAATAAACTGCAATAACTTGTGAGAAGTGAACGCCATAGAACGGCTTCATGGTAGGTACTATTTTTTCCTCAATTCTCGAGCTTCGGGAATCTTTCACATACAAGCCAAAATATGAGATCTTCACTTTGCATCATTTTGGTATAATATCAGTATGTACTAAGTATCATAATAATCCTAGCAACCAGTGTATTGAGCAACACAAGTTGAACAATCATTGGCACATACACATACCCAGGCACACCACATAGAATACAACATTATAACATTGAAGCTGGGCAATACAAACATCCACATACAAATACCATACACACCGAACAGGGTGATACATTACATGTATGTCAATAACTCTAGACTCAATCATTAATATGATATATGTTATTGTGTGAGGTTTCTGTACAGTACTATAACTGCTTTTACCATGTGAATAACAATGCAATGATGATCAAAATATTGAAAATGTCATTATCACTGCAATGGTATGGATATAACAATATAACCACAATACCAATGCTGTTACATCATTATAACAGTACAGTACTGCAGCAGTAACATTGACACACAGTGGCATAATCTGAGGCAATATTGTGCTTCAACTTACCAGAACGAACAGCAGGGCAGCCAGACCTCCCCAAACGCATGACAGCACCTGGTTAAACGCATCAAGTCAGGAAATCAATACTAACAAATCACTTATCTAATGTAGTTATCAATACAACAGAGAATTATTTAGGCCGCAGCTACTGCAGGGATAGTTACTGCAGGGAAGTCAATACTAATGGTTACTACAATGAGCTTAATGTGCTACAAGTAGTGCTTACGTTATTTTGCCACTTTACTATTGAGAATTACCATGAAAATTAACTGGTCTTTATTTTGAGTGTAGCCTGTTCGTTTCTGTTGTAACTTTTTAAATATGGCCACAAGACAAACAAAATGAATGACCAATCAAGAATTTTGTTATTTCATGGCCCCCATCTTTAAAACAACCAAGAGATAATCTTTTGGAACAGAGTCAATTTTTTCAATAATGTGCAAATGGGCATAAGTCAACTAAATTACTGGTCAGTTGAGTGGCTCATCTAGTAGACAAATCAAGGGGAGAGAGAGAGATAGAGAGAGGTTACTTACACCAAAATAATTTTCAATTTAGTCTGGGAAATACATATTTCCATTTTGCATGTGAGTGTAGGAGGTTGCATGTAACTTATATAACTATAAATATGTCATTAATACAATTGTTAAACTGATGGTCCATGTATCACTGGACATTTCCTGCAGGCACCCAGTACTCACCCTGGCGGCAAAGTAGTCCACAGGTGTGACAAGGTAAACAATCATCACGGACAGACCAAAGAACAACAGCACCATGAACAGACCAAATATCAGTCCGGAACAGAGGGTGAAATCAATCTGTAACAAATAAATCATGAGATCAATAGATCAATAGACAGCTTCACCAATCTATTAAAATCATTAGTTTCTAAGGAGTGTATAGTGTTATGAGCCCCTGGCTTAGTCATGTTAAAATTCTATAATAAAAACATAAAATATTTACAATAAACATATATGAATACAGAAAAAAAAAACATCTTTCACTATACAATGATTGTAGATTGTCATCTATTCCAAATTGAAGGGGAGATTTGACAACATTCCAATATATAACTTCATGACAATATCTACTGCTGCAAAAATAGGAACTTAACACAAATTTTCACTGATTAAAAATCCAGTGATATATCTGTACAAAACAAAGAGCCAACCAAATAGATAACAAAGAAAATAAGTTCACAAATTCATAAATACAAGAAGAAGACTGTTCTCCACAGGGCGCTGTACCTTGGTTTGGATGGCAAAGATTGACACGGCCAGACACACAGCGGCGGTGATCCCAGCGGCGATCATGACAGACTCCGTGGTGTAGGAGCTCGCGATGGTGCCTGTCATGTATGAGAACACCAGTGTAAACACGGCCAGGCAGATGAAGTTAGCAGGGAAGCTACGACGAGCCTCTCGCACGCACACCAGGACTATGTAGAGTATGATGAACAGGGCACTGAAAACAACAAGAAGATCATAGTTCCATAAAACCTTAGTTATCTATACAACACCTGCTAGTTCTATTTCAAGTTTCTATATCTTACTGTGTCTCATTTCTGTCAGCATAAGCTAAACACTTTTATATATTTCTGTAATTTTTCTTTAAATTTTATCACATCAAAAGAGAAAGCTGCCATGTTCACCTTATCCTCCATATTACATAACCTATTATTAAGTCTACACAGATATAAACTTTTTTCTTTCGAATAATCATAGACAGTACTTACTAGGATATCCAATAAAGCCAAATGTTTTGTCTAACAAACAATCCCACTGGCTCTCTGTGATAAAAAAAAGTATACATATATATGTGTCTCAAAGCAGACTCTAGTCCCCAACAAAATGTAAGTCTTCAAAAACAAACATGAGTGGTATCGTTTCCAGGATTTTTGCATCAAATCTAATTTTCCCGAAAAAAACAATGGAAATCTTTTTTCACTCAAGAATCAATGCTTGACCTGCCCCTGTTTGATATTTTTGTTTAGTTCTAAATGTCTGGACAGATACTATGACTGCTGTAGTTTTCCTGACATTTTAAAATAGAAATACTGACATCAGGTAATTTTATCTGAGGGGTTTTATCGTTTTCAAGGTCTGAATTGAGAAATATAAGTGGCTCTAAGTCTTTAGTGGCTATTTAGACAGAAAATATGACTTTGGGAAAATTTTTTAATGTGAATAGTATATATTCAACTTTAGTAAATATGCTTGGAATGTAGAAGTAATGCACTTTTGCAATAACTTTTATTTCAGCACCTATACTCATACTTACACAAGTGAAAAAATGCACACGATGCCAAATGTAACAGCCAGTTGAGCTGCTAATATCAGGTATACCTGGAGATGATAATAATAATAATAATAATAATAATAATAATAATAATAATAATAATAATAATAACAACAACAACAATAATATTAGGGATATGAACAAACAAATTAAAGCTCTATTATTCACAATTTTACCACCAATACAACAGAGATTGAAAAAGTTGAAAATAAACAGTCAGGATGTACACAATTTACACCAGTAAATGAGACAATGATTTTGTTCATTTCTTTATACAATTATTTCAACTGCCACTAAATTCTCTGCAGATCAGGAGGCTCACTTAACACACTAAAATTGGGGCATCCAATAGGTCAGCACTTGGACCAAATTTCATGGACACATTTCGGACAATGTATTTAAGTTTGAGTGTACTTCTTGTTTTTATATATGAAAAAAAAAAGGACTTGCACAGACTTGCCTACCAACTCAGTGTACCTCCAGTTAGGAAGTCCACCCCTTATTCAACACTCACCTTTTTGATAAAATTCCTTCGGACAGCTTTATCTGAGAAGGACTGCCCCGCCCATTCCTCCTCCACAGTGTATGAGGTATCTTCCGGTTTGGGGGCTGCGTAGCCAGTGGGTTGAGGCTGGCTATAGCCACCAGGTGGCGGTGCAGCATATCCTGTGCCGTAGCCATAGCCAGCAGGCTGGGGTGGAGGGGGCTGACCTAGAACAATGATGTCATGTACATGATGTGATATCACTGATATTGTGATGATGTCATAAAAAAGCATGATGTCACTAACAATACACTGGTATGATGTGTGCAACCCTTTCTCAAAATATTTTTTAAACAGGTTGAACAAATTCTTGTCCTCGTTGGAGGAGTGAAGAAGAGATACAAAGGCCCCTTATTATACTGTGCGCTATGCAGGGCCATAAACACAAACATAAGTGGTCAGTGTTAAGTCCTATTGAAATATGTGAGTGGGAGGGAGGAGATAAATTAGTTCAGGACTGTTCTCATAACTATCTGACCCTGATGAGATGGGAAAGGGAACAGGTGGACAAAAATCTCTGCTCTTACAAGCTCAATCCAGATCATTTCACTAAATCAATATGTATAAAGTATACAGGATGGTGGTTCACAGATGTTTGAAACCAGGAGTTTTGTAAATCTTCTTAAAATGCTTTTGACAATATATAGTTATATTTACTACTTTGTGAACATTTTCAAGGTACATTGGATCCCAAATAACTGGGATATTTTGAGAGGGTAAATCTGAAATCTGTTCAAGGTACTTGAATTTTGTGTGTGTGTGTGTGTGTGTGTGTGTGTGTGTGGAGAGAGAGAATTTTGCTGCACCACACAGTATGTCCACTTTTCTATTGATCTTAACTTGGCCCTAAGTACACAGAGTGTCCGCCTACAACCAATATTATTGACCAGTAGTCTGCCAGCAGTGAACCCTGAGCTTCTTGTCTGATGTGTGCCAGTTTCTTTACTTTCAATGGTCCATATGTTCAAACTTTGACATTCAACATGAAGTTTAAATGTGTTTACCCCACCAATCACACATACTTAGTCGTGCAGTTTTCATGAGTTTTGTAGAATGACATGCATTATAGTTAACACCCCTATGTAACAAGGTTAACTTGAATTAAACACAAGTGAAACTTAGATGCCACAAACAGGCAAGTGTACACATCTGAAAATGAAGGGGAGATCGCCTCTCACACGCCTTCCCACGCGTTGTCACTCGACCGGTTGAATTGAGACTAGATTTAATTACTGTGCCCCTGCAGGGAAGATGCGTGGGGAGGCGTGTGAGAGGTAGAGAGACCATTACAGGATTAAGCGGTCTTCCTTTCATCTACTATGTAGGTCCGCCACATTTAGGTCGCAGCCTTACTGGCACTCAGCTTTTCTCAGTCTCAATGGTCCCTTTAACTCCCATAGTGGACATCAGTTTAGTCGATCTCTGACTGTACACTTATTGATGGACTATTAATGGTGTTGAACAGGAACCAGTGTGGATATGGCAGGAAACAGAACTGTGGAGAACACACAGGGCTTACATCAGCTAGCACCTGGGACCTGGAGTACAGAGGCACTTAACACAGGGTGGGATATAGAACTTACAAACTGAGAATTTAACCTGGTTTGGCATTGGGTAAAGAAGTATTACGTAGTCATCTGGATGAAAACAACTTGGTGTCTTAAAGCTTAAGCCGTGTTTTGTAAAGACTAACTTGTAATATCCTCATTAGAATAGATTGTTAATTTTAGCCAACAAATTTGGCAATACTTTACTTTTTTCTTTATTTTTTTTTATTTTGCTTAACCTGTCTCTGTTTTTAATGTCTTCAATTACCCAGATATCATCCCAAGGGTGCAACAGCAATATCAGCAATAAGAAAATATATAGTCAAAATAACATACAAGTGTACTGTACACTGTTTCTATTCACTACATCAAATGCCACACCTTTTTGTCTATTACAGTGGCTGTTGCCCTAAATACCAATTCATCCCTTGTATTCCATCCTGTATTGCACATATCTCTATTAAAATGTATTGCACATATCTCTATTAAAATACAGTATTCACAGTCAGATGCAACTGACTCATATGTGACATCCATGCTAACACAGAACTGAAAATCAATATATCAGATACCAATTTTTTTCTCGACTAAGAATTTCACAGCAATAAATAAATAAATAAATAAATAATTTTAATGACAATAATGAAGTAGAATAAAAATGAATTCAGTCTCTTCTTGTTCAATAAATCATTTTCTGTCCCACCTAACAACATGGCCCTGCCAGTTAAATAACAAGGTACATTATCCAAAAACTAAACCCCTTTGATGACTATATGAAATTGCTGCTTTGGTTCTATTCCCATTGCATACAAGTAGTTCTCCTTTCCTTTAATAATCTATGCAAACCCCAGTGTTGTAATTTGTTGGTTTTAACCTTTGCATAAGTCACAACTCTACCCCTGCCATCTTTTTAGCATGTTTAACCTAAATACATCAATTCCATTATGCAACATGTATTTCACATCTGCTAGTGCCAGTAATTTCATTATGATACAATATTAAGTCTGGGGTAGCGCTAACACTCTCCAATTTAGCCAAATGCTAAAACTGACTTAAATTGGCTAAAGAAAAAGGGCTTGATTTGACATGTTTTAGCCAAATTATAACCAATTTGGTAACAAATTGACAAAAACGTGGTGATTTGGCTAAGGGAAAAAAATTGCTAGCGCTACCCCAGTAAGTATAACATTGCTGGAATGTGGAATCGATCTGGCTGAAGTTTTATGGCATACTCAATCCTTTAATATTAAAAAAAACTGCAGCTGGGATGGTGTTAATCTTAGTGCTTTACACCTATTAACATCCTGGCTGAATATCAGGATTCACAACATTTCCAGAAATAAAGTTCTTACTGTATGTAATATAGGTACCAGAGCTTGGATCAAATATAGCTCTAGTGTTCTGAAATGAGGATTCAAGTACCAAGTAGTTATCTGAAATATTCTTGGACTCAGTAATGAGAACGAAACGGCTTACGTGAATAATGTTTTAAAATATTAATATTATACAGAACTTGCTCTCATGCCATTGTGTATAGTTATATGGTTGTCATAATTATCACATGATAATGTAAATTGTTCAATGTCTTAACAACCAACATTATCATCAACAAATTCTTATAATACGTGGTGAATAACTGTTGTATAGAAGAGAATTTTAAATATTACATAGATACCAAAGTAAAGGGAATTATATCAAATTCAGATATGGAAAGAACTGGCCCTATTCACCAAAGAAAAGCAAAAATACTTTGAAGTAAAACATCTTATAAAGCAAAGCAAAGATGGCAAAATCTATGAACCAAAGCACTGAAAATAGAAACAAATACTCGAGTACAGATTTGGAATTATATAAGGATTGTTAAGCAAAGGACAATGCAATTCTAGAAATTATCTGATAAAAAGCAAGGGAGTGTCAAACTTAATATAAAGCTTATCTAGATATAAGAGGAATGAGCAGGGATAAGAAAATAATCAATGGTGAATCCTGTGAAGGAATGGGGAATATGCTATTAAAATAAAATTCTAGATACATGATTAAATTATTCGTACCCCAATATCTTTTAAAACTTAATCAGTTAATTTGGAAAGTTTTAAAAGAGCTAAACACAAACACATTTATATCTAACATTTGTGCAATAACATGGGTCTATACTTGTACAGATTTCTTGTTAACTGGTAATAAAGACAAAATTCTAGTTTCTTGATTTGATACTACTAACCTGCCAATACTGAAAGTTCTACATGGTAATAATATTTTTCAGTACATAAAGGGGGAATAACATGCTCTGAATTGCAGGTTATATCAGAAGGTCATTGGTGGACTCTAAGACATGAAAATGCTCACACATGCAGATTTCTCTCTGTACAAGGATAAGGAAACCCCTAGAATCCAGAGACTTTCATTTATAGATTTATAATTTGAAATGGACGGAGATTTCAACAGTGCAGAACAAGGCCAAAAGCATCGAATTTTAAAGGTTATAAAAATTTAAATCAGCACCTGCATTGTCCATTTCCTTTAGTGGGACAGGTGCTGAAAAATAATGAAGCAAAAATAACCAATTGTCTTTTGTCTCATTGAATTCAAAGAAAAGTAAGTATTCCTATTCCCCCAATAATCAACAAAGGGTGGGGGAAGGTCAATCTTTTAAATAAATAAATAAATAAATAAATAAATAAATTAATAAATAAAACATTTCTATTTGAAATTGCTTGCTACAGGACTGAAGGAGGTGACACTGCAGTCACCACAACACTGACTAGACAACCCCCCACCCCCACCCCCCACCCCCCACCTAACCCCAGGTCTGCACCTTCCACAAGAAACTGTACAAACTTGTAAAAATACCTACCTTTCATATTCCAACAGTTATATGTCCTTCAGGCAACTCTTACTCAACTGCAACAAATTTTCCCTCTGCCACAAACCCCCAAACTTTGCAGAATTTAACTCAGTAATCATTTCTGCCTAAGGACACACACAGATTATTAGTAAGAAGATTTTCTGTAATGGATTTCTAAAATGGGTTTTCTATACGTAAGGCATTGATTTTGGCGTGGGAGTTAGTCCTATAATTGGTGGATCATTCCCTGCGAAGTAATAATAATGAAAACAGGAGATTGGGCCTATTTCCAAGATGGATAATATGAAATATATATTTCCCTTGGGTATTATATTTTAAAGAAAGCCACAATTCAATTAAAACGATGCTCAATATATTATTTTATATTGTCTGTATCTGACCAATACTAATACCCATCTTTCTGACCGAATAAACTTGAGAGTGTCGACAGACCATAAGATGAATAAATAAACAAACAAACAAATTTAACATACTAACAAACATCCTGTTGGGCGTTTCTTGGACCGTTTTATTTACTCACCATATCCCGCGTTGGGAGCATTAGGATCACTGTAGCCATAGCCTGGATTTGTGGCATCGTTATAACTGGGGGGCGGCGGAGCAGTAGCCATGGTGTCCTATGACAACTGAAACACATAACATACATTGTTATAACTGGGGGGTTGCGGAGCAGTAGCCATGGTGTCCTATGACAACTGAAACACATAACATACATCGTTATAACTGGGGGGTTGCGGAGCAGTAGCCATGGTGTCCTATGACAACTGAAACATATAACATACATTGTTATATCTGCAGGGCGGCGGGCAGTAGCCATGGTGACCTATGACAGCTGAAACATATAACATGTTAGCGTTATTTTGGAGGCAAGTACTTGGAACTATCACCACTGACACTTTGAAAATGAAAATGAAAGTGAAACTGTTACATAGTATGGCATAACCTGTTTATCAGGCTGTCTAGCAGCGAAACTATGGGTCACAGTGGTCTGCATCTGTTATTATCATATATCTTCTCAGTAAAAATGCTAATAAATAGGGAAATGAAAGAATACCACACCTTTGTTGTGAACCATCCAAAATGATTACACAATATGGGATTGGTGCAGGATTTCACTCCTTCAGGTGTAAGGTATCTTTCCCCAGATAACGTGTTGAAAAACATAACTGTATCTCCAACCCTATGACCTCATAAAGGTCAAATGATGTGGATACGTCCACACACTTCTAATCACTGTGACATTGCTACGCTGTGTAACAGGATGTTTCAGTGTCTCATGATTTTGGGGCACCAATGAGTATACCACTTCCCTTCACAAACATTCATAGTTCTATACACTACCTTTTGTGGAAATTTATCCTATCCTCATTCCAAGAAGAAGAAATAATCCTAACTTTGTGAAATAAAAAGACATAATTAAACTAGTGTAATTTTAATAACCATATTAGAGGTTTAAGGGTCATCATTATCATTAAATATTCGCTTATTATTTTTTTTATCTTATTTTCATTCATTCATTTATCCATTTATTTGATTTTGGTGGAGAAGCAAAAAGGGCTAAAACACACACAGACCCCCCCCCCCCCCCACCCACCCACCCACCCATGGAAGCGGCAAAAATGATCCGACTTCCGCCTTTTCAAACCAAGTCTGGCATAATCAATAAAATACAGTTGTTACCGTAACTTTACATCGTCACAGCTTGGCTACGTCAATAAATGAAGAATGTTTCATATGTGGTACCACAATATATGGGAGATTAATATATAACGTAAATGAAACTACGACAGCACGTGTAAATGTTTCTATCACATATTGCAGAACTAGGATTTTGTCTTTCGTCGCCGGTGCCTTGGGATGGGATGAATTATGCAATAAATTGTCTTCTGTGTGAACTACTGCTGGGAATACATTTTTATAGACAAGTCTCAATATATATACGGTAAGAAATATATTCTAGTGTACTTAATGTCGCTATCAGACTTACCTCTATCTCATAAATTATGGGAAAATACGCAGATTCCTGTAGCAAGGTTGCGCTAGGTTGACTTTCCACAAATTTTTGTTGATATCTGACGTCACGGTAATTTCGGACATCACGCTATTTGTCAAAATGAAGATACAAGGGTTTTAGGATCACTGAAAATAAGAATTGGAACATAAATATGCTTGGGGCAGTGCAATGTGTGATTTTGAAGCACAAAACGTGGTAACTTTTATTAACATTTCAAGAAAATGGCTACCCAGCATGCAACAGGTAAGATGGCAGCGCCCGTGGAACAGGTGCGTTGAAATCAGTAGTCTGTTTTTTATTGTTGTTTTATCTTTTTATCTCTCATAAAAATGTTAAATAATCTCTCAATTATTTTCAGAAAACTGGAAAAAGCAGTAGGATCGAAAAGAGGCGGAAATGGTGGGGAAAACACAAGAATATGCAAAACGGTATGTGCTAACTGAAAGAACTCGAAGGAGTACCAGTAGTAGACGTTATACTATTACTAGTAGTTACTGCAACTAGTAGGACCCACACATGATTAATTTTGTAATATGTTATCCTACTAGTAGTCCTACATGCTAGATACTTCAAATTTAAGAAACTGATAGCTACATATCTGTGTATGAAAAGTCATTTTAAAATTTTGATCTCTCGCATTTAGATCAGAATTAATGTATTCAAGTTTTAGTGACACCATGTTTATCTTTTTTTTTTCAGATTCCACTTTTATAAATGAGTCACAAGTTACCCCACTTGGTTTTCCCCAGTTAAAGAATGCTGTGCATACTTAAAATTTGCCACATAACATTCATGAACAAAAATTTTAAATTTTGGTTCTAGGTTTTTCTAAAGCAGAGTGATGTGTTTGTGAAACAGACAAGCTGATTTTTAGTGATGTAGAGATGAGCACACATAATGAAAACATGTATAAGATATGCCTTGTCAGAAAAATTTAACAGTGTTAATTTTGTATACAACACAGGTGATGTTAACACAGTCAAGCCAGCTACAAACAAGACCAAGAGTGCAAAGAAACAGAAACTGTTGACAAGGGAAGATTTTACACAGAACAAACAGGGCTTCAAAAAGACATTCAGGACTTCTCATGCTATGTCCTTGGATAAACAAACAAAAAGAGAACATTCAGATTCATCAGATGGAGAATCTGTCCAAAAAGTAAAAGGAGAAAAAGAACACTCCGATTCCTCTGAAGCAGAATGTGCTCCAAAGTTGAATGCTGATCAGACCGAAATTTGCCAAGAGACAAAAACTGGCAGCCTACTAGTATCTCCATCAAAGAAGGGGCATAAGAAAAATAAGAAACAACCTGAACTGAAGACCCAAAAGGGCAAAAGTACAGTTGAAAGAAAAAGGAAATATGTTCTTTTTGTTGGGCATTTACCTGAGGATATTAGTAAGGAAGATATTCAAGAGCACTTTAAATCTTCAGGTACGGAAACTTGCCCCAGAGGTAGTAATAATGAAATGAATAAATAAAATATACAGATTCAGCCATGCTTTGCATTGAACTCTTGAAAATATTGTTCATTTTGTCAAGCATAAAAGTGCATGCATGTTTAATGTGTTTTATGTTCATGATTGTATGGATTTATTTTCCCTGGTGTCATCTTCTAGGGAAAGTTCTGACCATTAGACTTCCAACCCACAAGGAAACTGGGAAGCAGAAAGGATTTGCATTTGTTGAATTTGGGGATGAACCATCCCTCAGGGTAAATAATCTTCTTTGCTTTAGTGCATAGCATTTTAACATTTAAATACCTGTATACATTACTTTTTTATTGTTATTTTAAATGATAAATCAAACATTTCGGCTGCTTAAAGTTGGAAAAGAATGGAATTTTTATTGCAAGTATTTTTTATGAGTGTTAAGAAAACACGAAAAGTGTGATTTACTTTAGCTTACAAGTTTAATTTATAAGTGGAGATTAGAAAAGTAATATACAAGCAATGATTTCTTGATTATTCACCTGGAAACTGTGTAGAGTAAAAGATCAACTCGCAATTTTATTTTTAAAAATATTGTTATACTTCAAATTACAGTGCCTTTCTTGTTTTATTATATATTTTGCCTGATTATCTACTGGTTAATTACATTTAATAAAAATATTTTCTATTGTTAGTGATCAGCACTATTTGAAAGACGGATTTTAAAAGTATTAAAGGATTTATTGTTAATATTTTAAAAATTTATTTGTTTTCAGAGAGGATTGCAACTTCATCGGTCTGAACTTCTTGGTAGCAAAATAAATGTTGAGTTCACTTCAGTTGGAGGCAAAAACCAGAACCGCCTGGAAAAACTGAAGAAGAAAAATCTAAGACTTGCTAAATACAAGATGAGATATGCATTAGATAGTTAATTTCATCCCATCTGCACTCCACAGTTACTGAAGATATGACAGAATTTGGACAATTCTGGGTATTCCAAACTAATAAAAATAAGAAACTCCACATAGCTTGTCACCTACTAACTAGCATAATTGCCAACATTGTGGCCTGAACTCTGTGGTTATCAACATATTGAAATTATAGTATTATGTACAATATTAAAGAGAGGACAGACATGAAGTTTTTTCAGCCCCAGGCATTGGCATATAACTGGAAAAAAAAAGCAAAAGCCATGATCCCATACTATGGATAATATGGAATTGAGAGAGAGAGAGAGAAATGGACAGATGTAAAACACATTTCACACACAAAGTAATATGACATATGGATACAGCAGTAATGTGTGTAGTTAAACACTAGTGATCCTTGGTCTGTAGTGATACAGAGAGATACATTAACACAGCTGTAGTAAATGTACCATGATGTTTACAGGGTGTTCCCAAAGGTTAATACATTTCCTGGGATGATCAAGACATTGTTCATTACTTGTCCCATATGAAAATATGCATAGTTTGTGCATGAATTTGTGTCTTCTGATTTTATGAAAGATGTTTTTTGGGTCAAGGATAGAAGTGTTCCATGATGTTCAGCCGAGAGAGGATTTGAAAAGTTTTGTAGATTTCTTCTGGAATATTACTGATAATAATTAATGGTAAAATTGCCATATGCCAATGATGGTGTATACACTATTTGTAATATAGTCTTAATTTAAACTCAATCTTTGTAAATGGTATTTTTTAATCAAAAGAATATATTACTGGCTCAAATAAAGCCTTAAATCTTTTATTTACCCAAATTGTTGTCCGTTAAGTTTTTTTGCACTGAATGATGTTACGCAAAAGTTAAGAAATCTTTATTGAATTAATGAATTTTTGAATATTTCTTAAGTTGTGCATCCTGATTATCTATTACAGTTACAGATGAAATAGAAAGAATAACAGTCTATATCTTGGTAGTTAAATGCATGGAAATAATGTTAAATGTAGAGCATGGAACCAAACCATGGCTTTGAGAACAGTCTCGGATTTCGTTTGCCCTTGTAATGGGAGTCTGTGGCCGCTACGTGATTGGTAAGCCTGAAAACAGTAAATATGTTTGTAAGAACAAATAGAATGTTCCACGCGAGGCAACAATTCCAAAGCTAAATCTGTTTATTTTTTTGTCTGAAAATAACATTCATGCTCACAAGTACACGTTGTTGGCCACTCCAAAATCAAAATTTTAAAACAAATTATCGCTGAATTGAGGCTAGTATCACTCGCTTTGAGCACGATCTTACCATTCTTTAACGTAGCTAATCATGTCCTGTTTGTCAGGCGCCGTCCAGTGGTGTAGGTTTTCTAAAAATTTTTTGCATTGAATCCTGTGTTGTGGGTTTTCAGGGCAACCTGCTAGTCTAAACATCATCTAGGAAGAAGTATTTAACCCTTTTTAATGTCATCGGAAAATGGAATTAAAATATGCTATTTTACGAAAAGTGCAATTTGAATGCAGAAAGTATGAAGAAAGAAACGTGCTTTTCCAATTTTATATAAGATAAAAAAAAGTATGATAAAAAAGCAAAAGGGGACACTAATTAGTGTAGCTATAACGTGGTGTGTGCATATTTGTAATAACGAATAACCATACTTTTTGATACGTATTTGCCATACATTTTCGCACATGGACGCATGTAATTACCTCTTCGTGCATGAAATGTGCATTCAACAGACGGCAAAAGTCCAGAACCGCTTTCTTTTTGTCCTGTGTCTTTTCCAGGTCGAGCATCGCAGAAAACAACATCTTGTGCTCGTCCTCTATGTTCTCGTACTAAAGACAAAACATAAAACTCATCTATATGAATTGAATCATTCTCCGGACAATTCTGTCAAATTTTGTTAGCTTAGAACGAAACTCTTATAATTCACTATTGTTATTTTAAACCTCAGCGCAGGAACCCGAATTTGGATTTTTAAATTTATTAATTTATGGTGGATGAAACATTGATAAATGGTTACGAGTCACAAATTCGCTTCGTTTTTACACACGCGCGCTTGCTTGCTTGCTTGCTAAAATACATGTAATTTATAGGCCGGTTGGTTTCACAATCATTCATATAGATCAACTTACCGAAAATCTTTTGGACCACAACGGAACATACGGTTGATCAAGCCGCCACTGGAAGAACCGAGCAGTACTGTTAGAATGTGATCATGACGAAAAAGAAAACTATAATAATCATTCAGAACTGGCCGATATATGCAAAAAGAAAGACTCCCATTCTCCATGTCAAATTTGTTCAAGTGAAAAGAAAAAAATGTTACAAGCATTCACTTTTAGAAATTATACGCGTATAAGTACAGGACATGACAAGAAATGAAAGAAGTCATTCTGCCAACGGAGTGATATACTATTAAGATATAAGCAAACCAAATTATGTTTCCTCACCCCAAGACTAAAATTCTCATCCCACACGGCCGACTCTGGGACATGCGTCTTATCCGTCTCCGTAAAAGTAGTATAACTCTGCTGCCTATGGCTGACTACTGTCTTGTTGCCGGACCTTATCTCAATCCTGGACACACGGCTACATAGCCTGGCAACTTGGGGTTGGTCTGGAGAATGATCGCCGTTTTCCTGCCACATCGTCGTCTGCTTTATGGGAACGACTCTAAACACCGCCTTGCTTTGTAAGGCAAATTAAAGATAAAAGGGATAAAACACTCTGTACATTATCACAATTATCTATTATCACAAATACGTATTTGGTGGAGAGCGTTGATCATTTATCTAAAAAAATAAGAAGAAACTCACCAAAAATAGTCTTTTACTGTATATTTTGCATTTGCCAACACGCAACATTTTTTCTCTTTCACTTTTAAACATTTTCTTGTTAAAAAAAAAACTAATGAAATAATTTGTTTAGCTGCAAGAGAGAAAATATTGTTTGTCTTTCATTTAAAAAAAAAAGGTATTACCGGACACAGAAAGCCCTTCCTATGTGATCTGCTCCGTGATAGGTCTGTGTCGACTATTCCGCGGTGGGAAAGTGACCGAATTACACACAGGTGGTACATATATGTATATATATGACGATCCAACAACACACAACTAGAGCAATTTTTCGCGTAATTGAATTTCCCTGACGCAGGGTACGTGTGTGTTGGGGGGGGGGGGGGGGGGGG